TCTAGAGGGCCTCTTGGGGGGAATCTTGGATGCCTGTGGGGGCGTCTGGGGAGGCCTCGTGAGCCGTCGGGAGGTCGTCGTCGATGTTTCTGATCGCTCTTGGACCGTCTGGGACCATGTGGAGCTTCGGGGAGGCAACTCGGAGCGCTCCTGGAACGCTCTTGGGGCCGTTTTCGGAGCCCTCTTGGGCCGTCTTGGACGCCTGTTGGCCCATCTTGGGCCCTCTAGGGGTCTGTGGGGGACCCTCTGCGAGGCTTCTGGGGCCGTCTGGGAGCGGGTTTGGGAGCCTCTTGGGCCGTCGGGGAGCATCGGAAAGATCCAAAGCTGAATTTTTTTAAATGTACATTTCACGAAGGGAATGGCCCAATTTTGGCGTCTAGGGACCCTTGTGGAACGCATCTCGGAGGCCCTCGGGGGTGCTCGTGGGGACCTCTTCTGCCGTCGAGGACGCCTCGTGGCCCGTCTTCGGGCAAACTTGGACGTCTTGGAGCGCTCGTGGGGCGTCCCAAATCCATTTCGAAGCCACCAGACGCGTCCCTACACACATTTCACGTGTTTTTCAACGTTTTTCGTCACCCCCAAAAGCGCACGTGTGAAAACAAAAACGTTTTACGAAGGAAACAAACGATTTTTTGCGTCTAGAGGGCCTCTTGGGGGGAATCTTGGATGCCTGTGGGGGCGTCTGGGGAGGCCTCGTGAGCCGTCGGGAGGTCGTCGTCGATGTTTCTGATCGCTCTTGGACCGTCTGGGACCATGGGGAGCTTCGGGGAAGCAGCTCGGAGCGCTCCTGGAACGCTTTTGGGGCCGTTTTCGGAGCCGTCTTGGGCCGTCTTGGACGCCTGTTGGCCCATCTTGGGCCCTCTAGGGGTCTGTGGGGGACCCTCTGCGAGGTCTCTGGGGCCGTCTGGGAGCGGGTTTGGGAGCCTCTTGGGCCGTCGGGGAGCATCGGAAAGATCCAAAGCTGAATTTTTTAAATGTACATTTCACGAAGGGAATGGCCCAATTTTGGCGTCTAGGGACCCTTGTGGAACGCATCTCGGAGGCCCTCGGGGGAGCTCGTGGGGACCTCTTCTGCCGTCGAGGACGCCTCGTGGCCCGTCTTCGGGCAAACTTGGACGTCTTGGAGCGCTCGTGGGGCGTCCCAAACCCATTTCGAGGCCACCAGACGCGTCCCTACACGAGAGTTCGCGTGTGTTTTCCACGTTTTTCGGGAGCGGATGAGACCTCCGGGGGGTTCCGGCCCGTCCGGCCGGACCCCCCCCCCCCCCCCCCTCCAAATGGACCGGACCGGGCTCCCGGGGGAGGGGTTTGGGGAGGGGGAACATCTCACACGCCACGCCGATGAACC